GCTGCTCTTGAATAACAGAAAATTGACAAGTTGTCACTCATTACACTCTGGTGGCTGCCTGTGGTTCTATTTGAACTTGTGTCTTCTGATATTTGGTCATCGGGGGTGGAAAAATTTCATCACACACCATGCACTTTTAATTTTCTAAAGCAAATATGTTGGAAGGAACCAATTAATGCAAACATGGACTGTCGGTCTTCTGCAATTGATTTAGGGGACAGGTTAGTCTAAATTAATGAAAGATCTGAATTATAGATCATGAAGGCTTGAAAGGAAACACAGAACAGCACCAGGCGTGGGATTGGTTTTTGGGGGTTCTTCTTTAATTAACAGACATGAATGTTTTGTGATTTGATATTAGAAATGCTAGTATTTCTAAAGTGCTTCCAAAGTTCTCCAAAATATTTTCACCATCCTTGCCATTTGCACTATTTTTGAAGGAGGGGTTTGCATTGAAGAGGGCATGCTGAAATGAATTAATTATTACAAAGCTAATTATTACAAAGCTAATCCCTTTACTTCTTATCCTATTGGGTTACACTGACTGTATCTTCAATTTAATTCAAAGTGCCCCTTAATCTAAAATCTAATGATGTATCTATATTTAAAAAGGTATGTGACTGAATCCATTTTTTTCAGTCTACCATCCATACTGCAGCAAGGCGATTCTGCCAAAACACATCTCCTTAAAAGCCTCCTGGAGTGTCACATCAGCACCAGTGTAATGCCCACATTCCTTAGGGGGACAGCTGGAGCCCTTCACAAGCCTGCCCTCCCCTCAAGCTGCCTCGCCTGCCCGTGGGGACCACTTTCCTGCCTGCAGCCACACTGGAGAGCTTGGCATCTCCCCAACTGAGTGGACTCATAATATGGACCCACAACCACGTGTTCCCTGCCCCTGTCCTCCTGGTGAAATCCTCCCCATCCCTCGAGACGTGGCTCATTTGGTACATCCTCTAACGTTTCGATTCCTCCTCTCATGAAATTCCTCTCTGTCACCCACATTTGTTTTCTGATCTCTCTCTCTCCTGTGTGATAGGCACTAGTTTCATGCAGCTCCTGGGGTGCGCTCATGTGGCTAATTGCACTTAAATGAATTAAAATGAAATAAAAATAAAATTCCGATTCTCAGCTGCACTTGCCACTATTTCAGATGCTCAGTAGTCACACATAGTTAGTGGCTTCCATCTTAGCACAGATAGAGAACATTTCCGTCCTTGCAGAAAATTCTAGACTTCAAGCTCCTTGGAGAGCTCAGTTAGTTAATGCTCCATCTCCAGTGTCCAGCACATGGCAGATGCTCAAGACGTTTCTCTTGAACTAGACCAAACTGAACTGACTCGGGACTGTCTTCAGAGAAGCAGGACCAGGAGGTGCCTGTTGCCAAAGGAGGCTATGAATGGTGGGGTGGCGGAAGGTGATGGGAGTGTGCTGGTATTCAGAGGAAAGGGAGGCAAAACTGGCTCAGAAGTCATCTTTCATCTGGATGGTGTGTCCCCAGACAGGGTTCTGTTACTATGGTGAGGGTGGAAATGGGCGCTAGGGGCAGCTAGGGATGTCTGCGGCCCTGGAACCAGAGGACAGTGGGCTGGAAGGGTGGTTTGGGTGAGACCATGGAGGACTTTGGACGTAAGGTTAAGAAGTTTATCCTTCATTTTACCGGGATTGAGAGCCCCTGGAAATTTCGAGAAGGGGAGGAGTGACAAGATTGTAAGAAGAGTCAAAATTATTACTCTAGCTCCTTAGGTTTTAGGTCCTGTGGATTCGGAATTAGGCCCTATGGATTTATGTCCTCCACCATTCTGGGTCCTTCACACAGTTGGGTGGGTAGAGGCCCCAAGTGGGAAAGCTTCCTCCTCCTGGGCAGCACAGACATGGTCGCTCTGTTCTAGGTCAGAATCCTCATTTCCTAATCGAGGCTTTGACAGCCACGGGGTTTCATGGTTCATTATTCATGAATAGACTTGACTTTGTTCAAAATTAAAGCTTAAATTTGAACTTTGTTCAATTTGGGCCACAGAGAGGATGTCAGGGAACTCGCCTGTGTGGCTTCAGAACTGCCCCCTTTTCTCCCGAAAAATCCTCTCTAGGAATCTGTGCCAAGACCTGGTGAGGGAGAAATGAGTTTTCACGATGTATCAAAAAATGCATCTTTTAAGAAACTGTCTTTATAAATGGCATCAGAGGGAGAAGAAATAAAAGAGAGAAAGAGAAACCCCCTTCAGATCACAAGCATTGCTTCAGGATATGGAGATGTTAGGACTAAGGGAAGACCAGCGATGAGCCCCTGATGCCAGGTTTCAATTGATTTATACTTCTCTAACTCAGAGTCGAAGGACTTGTTGGGGCAGGTGGGTGAACTGCACTCATAGCTGGGAGATGATTGTGATGTGACCACGGTCTCTCTAAAACCTCGGGCACTGTGAATTCTGCTTCTCCGGGACTGCTTGGTCTTCCATTCCTTCCTCTGTTACTCCTCCTGATGAAGCCACTGGTGTGGCTCCCAACGGCAGGGTGGAGCTCCCTCCCTTCCCTAGCAGAATAGCCATGCGGCCTCCGAGGCTCCCGTTTACCGATCACCACCGTTATAAACACCCCTTCTAGCTGTGGTTCGGCTGCCACAAACATCCTGGGGTTAGTCACGCTGGGGAGACATGCAGCCACCACTGTTTTCCTGGTGAAGGTCCCTGAGGTTCTTAAACAACTTGTCTCGAGTCAGAATTAAGAGCCAGGAGCGGGATTTTGATTCCCAGCCCATCAGATAACATGGCTCCCGTCTGCTTCTCTAGGTCACTAACCCACACTGGAAGGGAGGCAGAGCATTTCAGGTGGAGGGAACAGCGTGAGCAAAGGCAAAGAGACTTTAAACAGGATGGTTTGTTCCAGAAAATGCAAATCATTCAGCACTGGCTGAGCAAAGTGTGTATGGTGGGGGAATGGGGTGGAGAATGGGGTGAGGGGGTGATGGGGACTCAGTGGGACCCTCAGATAATTATTCTCTGACAGGGAAGGAGCTTGGAGATCTACCCAGCAAGCAGTGGGGAAGCTGTGGTCACATTTTCTTTTTAACCAGCTAGCGGGCCCTGCAGCCTGGCCACTTGGCTGGAGGGTGGAGGATGGGGTTTTGCAGGCACAGAGACCCTTTAGAAGGTGTCCTGCCTCCATCACTCTTAACCTGTGGTGTGACACTGTGGGGGAGGGGGGTATTTATTATTTCTTGCCCTCTGTTTTCTCATCTGTAAAATAAGAATATTGGACGAAGAGAAGTTTCCACCAATTTATTCAGCACCACAGGCCCCGTTTATTTCGTTTGCCCACTGGACTGCTCTGGGGACAGTCTTTATTTGCTGATGGATTTTGCTAATTATTCCCCACCTGACACCCTCTTTGAGTAATCACAATCAGCAGAGGTATCCACCCCACTCCGGTATCCAGGGCTGAGTGAATTCTGGGTCAAGGCCCCCCTTCCCAGAACGACGAGGTGCTGGCTTGAAGAAACACTGCTGTGCGGTCTAGGGACTCAGGCTGGGGACCCCTGCGTCCTTATGTCCTAGGCTGGACCTTCTGCTTCCTGGCTCTTGGTCCCAGGGACCCCCTGGACCCTGGACACTAACATGGCTCACATCTGGGAGGTCCCTTGAGCAGGGTTATAAATATTTGTATTTTACTCTTTAACTATTTTTGTTGGGAAAGTATTGCGAGCACAACGCAACAACCCAAATACCGAAGACTAGTGCAAAATCCCTAAGCTTCCTGCGCCCCTCCCACACCTACTTCACCCCAAGGTCAGCGTTCCCTGCCCACCCGCCCATGGGTGGGTGCCCCCCTCTCTGCCCGGCCAGGACCTGCGCGAACCCGCCTCCTCCCGGGTCCTCCGGAACAAGCCTTGCCCATCCGTTCCGTGTAGGCCTGGAGGCCGCCGCCCGCGGGCCTGACGCGGCCTGGGCACGGGAACCCACATCTCGGGTCGCCTCTGCCCCTCCTGGCAACGCCTAGACTCGCGTCTGTCCCAAAAGATGCACCGAAGACTCTTATGTGGGAGATGAAAGGCGAGCTCTTCTATTTAATAACAATAATTATTTGAAATAATCGTGCACGTGTTCAAAATTTAAACAGTACAAAGCCCCTCTCCCATCCAAGACTCCCCCCAACTCCCGCCCGTTCCCAGCTTCTCGTGTCTCCTTCCGGAGCTCTTCTGCTCCTGTACGAGCACGCATCCTACCCACGACAACTTTTAAAAAGAATCAGACTCGAATGATGATATTCTAATTACTTCTGCACTTAACCGGGGGTCTGGGCAGCGGCCCCTTCCCGTGATTGGCCGTTTCCCAACTCGGCAGTTTGCGGGAACTTTCCCGGGCCCTCGCGCGCGGGGCCGCCGCAGGTTCTCGTTTGCAGAGTCTCCTTTAAGCTTTTAGGTCGCGGTGAGAGAACCCCCGAAAGGCGGAGAAGTGGGACGAGCAGACCGGGAAACTAAGCCCCGCGAGGGGGC